ACAAGTCTAAAAAAATTTTCATGCTCATCCCTACCAATAGGTAACTCAGCTCGCCAGACTCCGACTATACCTGAAATGTAATTCTCAGCGTCTACTCAAAACGCAAATTAAATTCACTAAAAAACAACAACATCATAGTTACAAAGATGTGAACATTAAAAAAAATAGATGGCCACCGTTGTATCCGCTTCTACGACCACTGCAATGTCCTCGATCCGAATCCCAAAAAGTCCTTCATGGTAGTAGCCCGGTTCTATGGAGAGAGAAATGGAAATGATGAGAGTAAACCTGACAACAGAGTTTTCTGTGCAAAGTGTAGTTCTGGAAGAGGAACTAACAGATCCCGAACATTTCAATAAAAGTTTGACAAGGACATTTTCTTGGTTCTCATAAGGATGGAAGCTGCTAAATGGCTTGCAACTGATGGAGCTCGGACTGTGGTGCTGTGAACTGACTTATGTAACAATGACACTCTGCACGTAGTTCTCTCTTCAGCCTTCATTGCTCTTATAGAAGCATTTTTGGGATCAGAGAGAGAAACTGGCCAAAAAGGAAGAAACTGGCCAACAAAATGTGAAAATGAGCAAAAAAACATTGTAAAGTGGTCCACAGGTTCAACTGACTGTTCTTTACAGTCTATGGTAGGGGGCTGCGGTCAGGGTAGGCAGGTAAGGCAGAGTCTCACTTAGTATTATGAAGAAAAAAGGTGTCAGCTTCAGGTCTGAAGCTGACAGCATTTTCTCCATTCAGATCGGCTTCTATCAGGTTACACAGCAGGGAAATCCTCCTCACTGTGTAACCTGTCATGGACGAAGCGCTGAGTGTTAAATACAGGCAGCACTGCATCCGGCTTTTGACAGGTAGTTAGATTACACATTAGCGGGCTTCCCCAATCCCTGTGTAACCTAACCTGGTGAGGCAAGAGCTGCCACAGCCTCTACTCTGTGTTAGAGGCTTGAGCTCTGTGGATGGCTTGGACCAATGGCAAAGCGCCGTTGGTTCAAGCTGTCCAATCAAAAACAAGAAGAAAAAACAGTCATGACATTGATCTCGATGCCTAACCAGTGAGGGACAGGGAGGCTCCTCCCTGTCTCCTCCCTTCCTCCTCCCCACACAACTTGGTTACCGAGCTGGGGACGGGGCTTCGGCAGGATGGGGGCAGAGCTTCCGCTGGATGTGGTGGAGCTTCAGCGGGCGGGGGGGATGCCTCACCCAGCACAGAAGGCACGTCACGTCACGTCACTGGTCAATGGTAGGCTTTAAGATGGTCCTGGAGATACCATTGGTCTTCAGTCATCTGAATTAAATGTAGTGCTAATCTGGCCAGACACATTACAATCTCATTGCGCAAACTTCATTAAGCTCACCATACACATCATGTGTATAGTAAGCTTTAGATTTACCAACAACTGTGAAGGACCAACTTGACCAGATATGAATTAGGTGGTTTACCCATAACCATCAATCAAATCAAACTGCAACAATGTGAAAAGTTTGGAGTAATTCTATTTATTGGCTGAATTAAGTTTTTGAAGTTTCAAGCTTTTTAAACACATTAGGTTTCTTTCTTGGGCGTTACACAATATAACCATACACTGTATTGTGAAACGTTTGTGGACACCTGACCATCACACCTATAGTATACTGTATATTGGATATCTGATTCTAAACCCATGGGCATTAATATGGAGTTGCCTTCCACCTTTGCGGCCATGATAGCCTCCACTACTTTGGAAAGTCTTTCCACAACATTTTCCCAGGCAATCAGGAAGCCGGGCAGCGAGTATTGACTCGCCCCCTGGCTTCTTGATTGACTGGAAACCCAGGCTCTATGCTGATTGGCTGGGAAGCTGGCTTGCTGGCCAATCAGCATTGAGCCGGCCGAACAGCCAGCTCCATACTGATTGGCTGTTCAGCTGTCTCGATGCTGATTGGCTGGAAAGCCGATCAGCATGGAGGCGGCTGTTCCTTACTTAGCTGGCAGGGTCATTACTTGCCGTCCGGCTCCATGCTGATTGGCTGGGTAGTAGGTTTCCCGGCCAATCAGCATCGAACCGGCCAAACAGGGAGCCGTCTTCCAGAGAGATCAGGAAGCCGGGCGGCGTGGCATTACTCGCTGCCCAGCTTTCTGATTACACAGGAAGCGGGCTCCATGCCAGCAAAAGCACCGGTATCGGTATTCATTATCGGTGAGTACCAACAGCAAAATATCGGTACTCGATACTGAAAAACCATTATCGGTGCATCCCTAATAAAAACAAAACAGACCATTGTACCTAATAAAAGCCTTACTGTACATGTCCTCAACAATATAAAATGATATAGTTTCACAGATTAGTCATGGAGTTATTCTTGAATTACCAGCTAGTAAGGCTTCTAAATTTGGCCTGGGCATCTAGACATTGATGATTTCTGGTCATGAAAGGGTTAAGGCTGGCTCACAATTATACATTGCGGTAATGCACCCATGACACCAATACAAAAAGGTCAGGAGCTTCTCATTTCACATGCAATAGGGAGCAATATGGAAGTGGTACCATACCGATTGATGTGAACATTCCTTTGGCAAAAGCAGCATTCCCGGCCCGCAGTCCTGTCGGCCCTGGAGATGGGAAATGACAATGAAGAACTTTACTCATTTCCTTTGTACATATCATGTTTCAGGCTTTGAACATGAAGAAATCATCTTCCAAAATAATACACTTTCCGTTTAATCCGAACCTGCGGAAAATGATAGAAGGAGAGAGCAGGGTGACAAGGGAGATGAGCTCATTTGTCTGCATCTCCTTTAATGTCCAATCACAGGCTGGGGGAGGGACAAGACTTCCCTTGCACCTCGTGTCCCGAGGACTCCGGAGATGGGAACAGAGTCCAAGTAGACAGCGAGTAGCACGGGTGCCAGTGGTGATAACACCGTGCAAGCTGAAATCCAGGTGCTTTAGTAGAACCAGGCCAATTCTGAATTCCAGGTCAACGAGCCAAGGTCACACCAATCTGGCAGGTACGCTACACAGGGATGAGGCAGAGGCAAAGTCCAGTAAACAATCCGAGGTCAGGGGCAGGCAAGAATGGTGTAGGCAGATCCGGGTAGAAGCTTGCAGGCAAAGAATCACAGGACTACAGGGGATATGGGGGCATGCAAGCTGAGCTTAAATAGTGGGAACAATTAGTTTAGTGTGTCACTTCCTGTATGCCGCTTGGAGCACTTTTTCGCGGGCGCTCCGTGGCACGCACGCAAGTTTCCCATTGGTACGTAAATCGGGACTTTGCGCATGCGCGGCAGAGGGTTGCTGACAATAGCATTGAGGAAACCAGACCCGAGATATCTGAAGGTTTCACCTGCAGACATGCTAAGGAGGATCTAATCACTGGCACCTAATTTGGAACATCAAATTCTAATTTCATGGATTTGAAGTGGTGCTGAATGTAGGGGTGTACTTACTTTTTCCATGTGACAAATCTGCATTTTCTTTCATTTTAAATAAAAAAATGTCAATTTTATTTGTAATTTGTTTAAGTTTACCACCCTTATCTGTAGGTGATATTGGAATCCAGTGTTTGCATGTTTGAAGATGTTGAAAAAGTCAACAATTTCCATAGGGGTGTACTTACTTTTTGACTGTATGTCCTTATGATTCCATCTGCATATCTAGCTGACTTCAGCTTTAAAGGCCACAACAGATGGACACAAGTGAGATTTCTGGTGGCAACATTCCACCAATAGACTCCTCAAGGGATATATAGATTTGACACTGGATTTTACTTTCCATTATCCATACAAGACTGAACTGTGCTGTCATTTAAACAAATTGTGTTCATGAAAAGATTTGACTTTTCTCAGTGGGCGACTTACATTCGTGAACAGAAAAGAAATTTCCAATGCCGTGTCCTGTTCCATGTCCAAAATCCAGACCTGCTTCCCACAGGGCACGTCTGGCTATCGATTCTATGTTAAACCCTGCCAAGAGAACAAGATCGTTATCGGCGATGTGATTGCGGGCCCCCGGAGGGTGCGAACACGCGGCTGGGCTTCCTGTGTGGCTTCTGATGCATCTGAGATCTGATGTAACACTCCCAAAGTACTTCCTTTTCCTGTTTTTCATGACAGGTATGAAAGATCCAAGATGTGATAAATGTCTATCCATACAGAGAGCACACATCTGATACATCTTAATGTAAACTCGCAGTAAACAGACTGCAGATTTACATCCAATTCTGACTGTTGGATAAAAATATACTGAAACTGAGCAGACCGATCAGCCATAACATTATGACAAGGTGAATAACATTGATTATCTAGTTACAATGACACCTGGAAGTGTGTGCGTGTGTGTTAGAGTGTGTGGATACATTATAATGACACCTGGAAGGGGGGGGGGGGGGTATACTGTATTAGGCAACAAGTGAACATTTTGTCCCTGAAGTTGATGTGTTGGAAGCAGAAAAAATAGATTTGAGCAACTTTGACAAGGACCACATTGTGATGTCTAGAGTGACGACAGGGTCAGAGCTACTCCAAAACTGCAGCTCTTGTGGGATGTTCCTGGTATGCAGTGGCCAGGACAGACCAAAAGTTGTCCATGGAAGGACAGGGTCATGGGTGGCCAAGATTCACTGATGCACGTGGGAAACGAAGGCTGACCCGTGTAGTCTATTCCAATGGAAGAGCTACTGTAGGTCAAATTATCGAAAAAGTTAATGCTGGTTCTGATAGAAAGGTGTCTTTGTATTGTGTATTTGTATTTGGTGTATTTCTGCTTCCTGTTAACACTTTGGGATCCCGACTCTTAAACTATGTGTTCCAGTGGGAATGTGCATGGGGGTGGGACGTGCATGAGCGTGCACAATAAGGGTGGGGGGCATTGCAGGATTAATCATCAAAAAGGCCAGATAGTGCTACAAGAATATACAAAGTGTAAGTTATCCCTACAGAACAAAGACTATGGATCAATAAACATGAGTTTACCTAGCGCTCTTGGCGGGAATACAAGTTCGCTCAGCTCAATATTTCCTATCAGGACCCGAGTGTAGGCTTCCTAGAGGAGAAAATACAGCCAGAAAGAAAATGCTTAAAGCTGACGTCCAGGCACATACACCTTGTTTAAATGTATTCATCAATTACCATTCAGGATTTAAATCCAGCCCCACCCACTACAGCCAGTCAGCAGAAAACTACAGGAAGGGGCGGAGACCAGTGTTGGTTTATAACTGTGCTAAGGCAGCATGTTGTAGATTGGGTCGCCTTCTCTCACACACACAGAGCAGCAGTGAGCGTCTCCAGCAATCCGACACGACCCCTCCTCAGTACACCCGTGAACAATGTTCTCTGAGAAGTATTGTTCATTAGAGTATGTAAGAACAGCGGTCTGGCTCTCCTGGGTGCTGTCATCACAGGGCAGCTTTGCACATTTAATAAACTAAATGCTGTATATGGGAGCTCGTCAACTGCAGAAGGAATTTGTGTTTTTGCACATCCAGTCCTGAAATTTACACAGCACAGTCCTGCCTGGCATGGGAGGGGACCTGCTCTCTCCCTGTCACAGTTTCACTTGCACCATGGCACTTAAACACAGGGCCGGATTTCCCATAAGGCCAACCAAAGCCCAGCCTCGGGGCAGCAGGGAGTAGAGGGGCAGCAGGGGTGTGGAATTCCTATTTCCCGATGCCCGGGACATGCAGTTCCGGGCGCCGGGCGGGTAGTTTTTTTCTACCTTTCGCCCTGCTTTGAGCAAGCAGAGCTAAATGTAAAGCGGGGAAGCCGCCGCATGTTCTATTCAAGTGATCTCGACGATGTCACCGAGATCACTTGTATGCAGTCCTCATAGAGGAGGGCGCATTGAGGAACCTGGCATTGGGGCAGCATAGAGAGTAAATCCGGCCCTGCTTACACAATGAGCTCATCTCTTTGTCACTCTTCTCTCTCCTCCTGTCTACATGCTCATTGAACTGCAGTACAACCACTGTGAGAGGGAAAAGAAGCTCCTTGTGCTTCTTCTCCCTCTCGCACACTTCATCTGTCCTTTACAGGGACTGCAAGCGGCATTCAGGGGCATCCCGAGACCGGCTGACACCACGCTGTGACGTCATCCCGCATGTGTGGTCATCTAATTGACTCCTCCTGGTGGCTATCTTGATGATGGATGCCAGCAGAGAGAGGAGGGGACGTTCCCACGGCGGGATAAGGTATGCCGCCGGGTCCCCTCCTCTCTCCTGACACTGTTGGGCTCTCGGTCCATGACCTAGTGCCCGACTTTTTAGAGGGGGTGACACCAAAATGAGTGTCGGTCATTTAGGTGTCCCCACCTTAATGGTGTCACACGGGTGCGGGCCGCACCCCGCCTTGTGACGCCACTGATCCCGTTGAAGGTGTTTTGCTTGTAAGCTGGCAATTGTTACATCTTTGTTCTCGGGTTTAGATATACTTTAGGCTGACATTGTCCTGTGAGAAATGTTACCTTTTCAAAGGCGGTGGGTGTCCCCCAGTGAACAGTCCTTGTAATGTCCGTTGTTCCATCGCTATAAAACGTTTGGAAAACAAATCACAGGGAAGGATTAGAAAAAATCCCAGCAAACGGTATTGATCAGATATACAGAAATTAAAAGTTGAAGGGTTAAATAAATCCTGGGTAAAAAGTAGCCGTCATGGGTCAAGTCCAGGAGAATAAGGGCGAGACCTCACTGTGCGGCAATTGTGCACGATTCCGCGCGGATTGCAGCGCGGTCAGGAGTCGCCTAGGTGTGCACCGATCGTGCTGTGGGTGCCATTAAGTCGTGTGTCGCAAAAACATGTACCCTTTTTCTGCAATTGCCGCGCAGATGTCACCCACAATGCAGGACGTGCGATCCCGGATTGCGTAGGTCTGCACGGGGCCTGAACCTCTTTGCTACTAATCTGCTATCACTTTTTGCTATTAACTCCTTATTAACGATTATTTCATTAGCATCACATCATCACATTGAGTTCAGAGAGTTGCAAATATGATGATTGCTAACAAGAGGTTAAATGTCTCGGGAGTAGAGATGAGTCTGGGCTCGTTGCGGACCCAGTTTGCCCAAATCCGTTCAAAACTGTGACCACCACTGCCCCCTAACATCTACAGCAGACCCTCATCTAGGATAAAGGTCTGCTATAGATGAAGGGAATTCCCGGCCACCTTGTTTTCAGACAGAAGAAAGGAGTTAAATCTTAAAAATACTTTCAAGTACCGTAACTATTAACAGCAATGTATCTTATTTGTGTATCACTCGGCTGTAGATCCTCCAATCATCTCTGAATTAGTGCTGACACTGTCCTTCCTTCTGGAGGGGGGCTACTTTTGTTCCCCATGGTCCTTGTGTGTGTTGTAAAGTAGTCACCGCTCCAAGTTCCCTCCTGGGATGGACTACAATCTCAATACAAATTGGTAAACAATACGTGAGATTGTAGTCCATCATGAGAGCGAGCTTGGAGGGGTAACTGCTTTAAAACACACACACACACAGGGACCACGGGGTAAAGGTTTTAATACCTGTCTCAATACTCACAAGTACTGTCCCCCGGAATCTACCAAGTAGATTTCATTTACTCTCAGCGGCCGGTTGGTCTCATTAGTTGACCTGTAAAATTAAAACATAAAGACCGTTAAAACTAAAAATTTAAGAGCTGTTTTTTAACTCTTCAGACACATTGTAGAACCTCTTAGAAAAAACACAATAATAGAAAAAAATAACACCAGGGGGAAACAAAAACAAATATTGTAATGCCCTCTTTTCACCAGCCCCGTTTTTGACTACAAAGTAAATTCATGTCATCCTCCTATGATGAGAGGACTGCGCATAGATAATATTAAAATATAAAATGTCCTACAAGCTGCAGGAACGTAGGAATATTTATGTGGCATTTGTGTAAGCTTTACTATGGAAGTGCCATGTAGACATGATTCCGAATCAAAATTCAGACACACGAATTTCTGAATCCCAATGCATCCGAATGTGTCCGAATCCAAATTTCGTTTTCCGAATTTCGGATCCCGTCCGAATTTCGTTCAAAAACTAAACTGAATTGGACATGTGACTTTTCTGGCCAATCAGATGTGTTTTTCGGTTTAATGCCTCCGAATGTGTCTGAACACGAATTTTCATTACAGCAACATGGGAGCCATCTGATTGGCCAGAAAAGTCACATGCCATAACGAAAATTTGTGTTCAGTATATACATATAATACTAAAGTTGAGAATCCTAAACCCGAATGACATTTGGGATCCGAATTTCTGAATTGTATTCGGGAGCTCCTGAATGCCATTCGGGTCTGGGAGCCTCAGCTTTAGTATCAATATCTGTATATGGTTTTTTGTGGTATTTGCAACGAATATTCGTTAACTCATCCGAAACTAAACCAAACCAAATTTGTACGCAGCTTACATGCCTAGTGCCATGTGTCTCTAAGGGGCATTTTTATAAAGGATTTTAGACACGTACACCGGCAAAAAAATTGTTTAGTTTCGCTTCGTTTTGATTCTGATTTTGCGTTATTTCGTTTTTTACTGGATTCAGGTCTGAAAGTCAATTCATTTCGGGAATCGGATTCGGACAAAATTTGTTAGCGGTAGTCTGAACGAATTTTCGTTTTCTTTTCGTTTTGTTTTGTTTCAGCAAAGTGACATTACATTTTTTTTTTCTTAAATATCACTTGATTGCAACGCAAATTCATCCACAAACAAAAGTTTGTACAGGCTATCTCTAATGAATTTCGTTTTTGGAAATTCTAATTCGTTTTCATTTGTCATTTCTGTTATTCGGAAATTCGGATCCATCCAAGTCGCCGAATAACGAAAATTCGTCCGAAAAACTTATTTTTCTGAAACTAATGGCACATGTCTAAAGGATTTGCTGAACTTAGTGACCAACATTCACCGGGTGGAAATTAGACTCCCTGACAGTCAGCAACATCTGTTTTTCAATGCAAAATGTGCTTATTGTAACAATCACCCAAGCTATTAAATGGTAAACTAAATCAATCTGTGCAATCTTTTTACGAATGTATAATGCAATTAATGGAAAGTATTAACTTTCATAAATTTGAATAACCTTAGCAAGTTTTATATTATGAATATTTTAAATGTTAAATTGGAATAAACTTAGCATATAATTAACTATATCTACTGAACTACTGAACCATTATTACTGATTATAAAATAAATATAATCATTCACTTATAGGTGGTAGGATAAATCAGCCAATTACTTCTTATATGTCTTGGATACTCCAACAGTAAGTTCTCCCTGCTATAATTTCCGATTCCTGTACATATGAGAGTTTGGGGTGTTCCTGCTACCTTCATGTGTTCCGGCACTCCAGTTACAATTTTCCATAACATATAATAAATAAACATCCCACAAGGATGGTGGGGACCCTTCATAATGGTATGGAGTTTACCATTGCTCTCCGGATGAAGCTGATCACAAAATGTGTTGAGATAGGAGTGTCCCTAGACTAATCGCTGCCTAAGACAGTGAGGGGGGCAGGGGTTGGGGTTGTGCTTCTGGTGTACATTCTGGGGCAGAGAGTGTGTTAATGATGCATGTTACGGGGGGTTGCTAGTGGTGCATGTTATGGGGGGGGCTCCGGCATCCTGCCCAGCTTACTGATGTCACTGGTTGCTAAAAGCATGGCAGTTTGGTAGCCAGAGCGTCCCTCCCATCCAGCTCTGAGCCTCCTAGCAATCAGTGATGTCACTGGTTGCCACAAGCTGGCTGGGATGCCAGTCAAAGCATCACAAGTTGCTAAGAGCTCTGACTGTCTAACCAGGGGGTATATATAGCAGGGAAAGGAGTCTTCTCAAGGCCTTTTTGGTGGGGGGAGAGCTGAGCTGGGGAAGAGCAGAGATAACGTCTGGTGGGCACTCATGGGACATAAAGGACCACAGCTGGGGGAAAATAGTGTCCCTGTTTTAAGGTGTTTAGAGGAAAATGCTGTTGTTTGTTTCCTAACTGGATCTAGCCAGTGCAGCCTGAAAATATGTTAAGAGCACACCCTCATGAGGGCATAAGTCCAGAAGTGGACTTGCCATGGCAATGGAACCATGATGAAAATGGACTGTTTTTGATTTATTCTTTTGTATGTAAAAAAGATAAGTTCAAGCAGATTATGGATTGAGTCTCTTCATACCCGAGAACAGTACGTGGTCTATACCTTGGGAATTCATTGTAGCAACTGGTTCAGGAGTGTTGTGGACGGTCAGTCAGTGATGATGGTCAGGTTCCTCAGCCATGCTAACTGGGTCCCCGTGTCACATGGTCCTCAGGTGTGGGATGTGACCATTGTGATGGAAAAGACCCCTGCCGATGCCTAGGGCCAAACTATGGAATCTGATCATGTTTTGGAGCCAGCAGGGCAGGTTAGGAGCTTCGGGTAGCTGCCCCACAAAGCTGTTGGCTTGGGCTCTACTGACCGGAAACTGGCTTAACTACCTGGCTGCTAGGTGCCACCTTTCAAGCACTTGTAGGCCAGTGCCTAGGGCAGCAGGATGAGGCAATACCAAGCCTACAAATTTACAAACAGTACATGTTTTCCAATGTTTTGCTCTTCTTTTGGCCACCTCTGGACACGTGTGGCAAAACTGAGCTCTATGCTTGCTGAAATTAACCACCTTTTGGCCACCTCTGGACACGTGTGGCAAAACTGAGCTCTATGCTTGCTGAAATTAACCACCTTTTGGCCACCTCTGGACACGTGTGGCAAAACTGAGCTCTATGCTTGCTGAAATTAACCACCTTTTGGCCACCTCTGGACACGTGTGACAAAATTGAGCTCTGTGCTTGCTGAAAATAGTGAAAGGAATCAGAAGACTCACTACAAGTCCAAGAAACATAAAACTACACTTGTTTGTTGATCTGTGCAGTTACAAGGTAACTAGGAATATAAAGCAGACTCCATGCTCACAGCACATTCTATCATTGGTTTTTGTTAATATAACTGCATAGTGCAATGTGCAAAAGGGCACAATCATGGTCTAGAACAGCGGAGTATCTCCAAACAGCCCTGATTATATTATGGAGAATACAAACAGGAGGAGCAGAACTCCTCACAGTGGCCAGCGGCACCTAAAACTCCAAAATAGGGGAACAGATGCAGGACCTATGGTGGGGAGATCTCCCTGTCCCCAGTATCTCCCCGTCTCCAGTCCTCGGGAAGTACCCACCAGTAGACATGTGCACTGCCAAAAAATTTGTTTAGTTTTGTTTTGTTTTAAATTCGGATTTGTGTTATTTCGTTTTTCAGGATTCGGGTGTGAAAGTCAATTCGGATTCGGAATTCGGACGAAATTCGGTAGCGGTAGTTCGAACGTTCGTTTTGTTTTCTGTTCTTATTCGTTTCTTATTCGTTTCGTTCGTTCGTTTGCAGCAAAAGTGACATTTGAGTGGAAAAAATATTTTTCTCCTTCTCTAATGTCACTTTGCTCCAACAAACGAAACGAATAAGAAACGAATAAGAAACGAACGTTCGAACTACCGCTACCGAATTTCGGAAATGGAAATTCGGATTCGTTTGCATTCGTTATGTCTGTAATTCGGAATTCGGATACATCCGAATGTCCGAATTTCCGAAAATTCGTCCGAATTTCGATTCGGAACGAAACAATTGGCACATGTCTACCCACCAGGCTCTGCATATGACTGAAATATTTTTGGGTGTAGATTTCTTATTATTGTACTGCTGACTTTAGGAGCAAAGTCAACAGATCACAGCAAATAAATAAATATGCAGTGCGCCAGACTTTAACCCTCTTCGGGAAGTTTTGAATGTGGTGGAAGAGGGAGTCAGGTGACAGCGGAGGATCGCCATGGGAGGGGGAGCTGAGTGGAGGGCCTGACAGAAAGTGCTGGGCAGCCTGCTGACATACAACTAAGCCCTTTGGCTGTGAGCTAACATCCATCTTCATTGTGGTGAGTGTGCACCCCTAAGGGGACAACTGTGTGGCACGAGGCGTTTTTTCCACGACTGCTATCAAGCACTCTGGGACTTTATCACTTGCACTTCATGAACTATTTATTGGACTAATTTTGCACTTTATTTTTATATATACAATTTTTCATGAATTAATACTTTTTGATATCAAGTTTTGCTATATTAGTTGTTCACAATAAGTACACAATGTTGTTCACTTAACTCTGATATTAACTATCCATTTATGTCACAGTTTGATATACCATTTATTGGTTTGATCACTGATATTTAGCAATCATATTTATGATTTAAGGTCACGAGCGCTGCATATTTATTTATTTGTTTATCATTGGACTTAGTGTCTCAGGATGCAGCAGCTGTAATTATATACACTTGGTTCATCTATTGGATCGAAAGTTTTTTCCTAAGCGCAGGCTTAATTTATTATTACACAACAGATCACAGCAACCAAGTCTTGTACCTGTAATGTGGAAGGGCGGCATTCAACCCACTGGCAGAGATGGTGCCAAAACTGGGACCCTTGAAATGCTCCTGCTTCCTGCCAAGTAATACAAAAAGATAATCAATAAAGAGCTAAATAAGTAACTGAATAAACAACTGACAACACAATATACAATATATATATATATATATATATATATATCTAACGCAGCCGGAGCGGATCCCAACATCGATGTCGAGATCCGCCCAGCTGCGTGAGTGACAGCTGGCTCTGCAATAAACAAATATGGCCGACACCATTTTACATGCGTACATAATTACAAAATTGGGATATTAAACAGTTAACATACACTAAAAATATGAAATACATTACTCTATACGTACAGTATATGTAAAATACCTTAAAACAGATATACAGTCAAAAAAGTTTAAAAATAAATAAATAACAAAAATAGAAGAAATAAATATTCCATTAAAAGTTAAAATAAAAAGGATTTTTTTTTTTGCAATATTTATTTGGAGCTGTCACCCACAGTACTACTTTTGCACCAGAAGATGTCCTCATTCTTCAGGGTTGAATGACAGCCAGCATCATTCAACATGCTTCCTCTGAGTCCAGGCTGTCATGGACTCTGACCCCCCCCCCCCTTCCCTGTATCTGGATAGTGAAGGGGAAGCAGCACAGTGATGACCTCATCTCTCTATTGCTCTGCTTACACCTACTATCAGCAAGCTTCTTGTCAGCACATGAACTGATTGGCTTATTGGCTTCTTCCTCTCCCAGCCTGAGCTTTGCTATACAGAGACTGCAAAAAATGTCATACCCAATCACATTCAGGTACTCACACCGCTTACTTTTACAAAAATTACATTGAATGAATGCAGAGCTGCATTCATTTGTGTCTTTTATATCTGACCGAAGTTTCTGCTTTCTAAAAGGCTAATTAATTCCCTAATAGCATATTGCAATTGCTTTAAAAACTGTTAGACAATGAGACAATGATTTAGGGAAACACAGGTAAAAAAAAGTAAAATAAAACAATGTAAGCTCCTTACTCTCGGCGCCCATCGACGTAACTTGCGCCGGTCAGTTCCGTCACTGTATTAGAAGGGACAGTTTTCTCCAACCAGGCCAAATACTCAATGACCGGTACGGCATCACGGATCTACGACACACCATTTTTAAAGTTAAAAATATATATATATATCCACAGTATATACAGTATATCTATTATTAAAGGAGGACTATGAGGCGAGTGAAAGTCACTCATCCTCATAGTTTGAGCCGACGTGCGGCAATGGAACTGTCACACGTTGGCTCAATAGATCGGGAAGTGAGCAAACATATACCGTCACTCGCTCACTTCTCGATCCTGTGCCTGCAGAGAGCCTGTCAGTCACAGCTCCCTGCAGGGATTCCCCCCTTCCCGCTCCAACCCTCCAGCATTGACTAGCGGAACGGACGGGGAGGGGGCGGGTACAGCTGGCTCTGCTTCTAGATAGGCAGAGCCAGCTGTCACTCACGCAGCTGGGTGGATCCAGACAGTATTGTCGGTATCCGTCCCGGCTGCGGCGTCTCAGGTATACTGAGCGTTGGGTGACGGGAGGACGCTAGTTTGTGTCCTCCTGTTACCCTTAGGAGAACTATGGGGAAAAGCACTGACTATGTGAATAAGATGCAATGCTCTTCAATGAGTGCAGTGCATCCTACTGTGAATGGGTCCTATCAGAAGTATAGTGAAAAGCTATACTTACATGACAGTTCTTCATTAGCCTCTGCTCCTTCTCGGTTTTCACAGCTTTTGTCATCATAACTGGAGAAAAACCTTCCGATAGAAGTTTAGTCTGAAAAAATGAAACATTCCTATGAAATTGTGATATACATGGACACGTGAGCATCAGAACTGGACCACGGAGCAATGGAAGAAGGTGGCCTGGTCTGATGAATCACGTTTTCTTTTACATCACGTGGATGGCCGGGAGCATGTGTGTTGCTTACCTGGAGAAGAGATGGCACCAGGATGGACTATGGGAAGAAGACAAGCCGGCGGAGGCAGTGTGATGGTTTGGGCAATGTTCTGTTGGGAAACCTTGACTCCTGCCATTCATGTGGATGTTACTTTACCACCGACCTCAACATTGTTGCTGACCAAGTACACCCCTTCATGGAAACGGTATTCCCTGATGGCAGTGACCTCTTTCACCAGGATAATGCACCACATACAGTATATCTACTATGGCCATAGGAGACTCTACAAGTGACAGGCCAAAGCAGATTGCCTTACCTTGGGTATAATTTCATACACTCCGTAATTGGTGTACTGTGATCCAATCCAAACTTTCACATCGCCTCTCACATAGTCTATGATGGTGTCCCGGACATTATCATACTCCAAAATCTGGACGCACGTGGACCCGGGACAGTTGCTGTTCAAGTAATCGCGGATGGTGTTGGTGATACGGCTGACATTCATAAACAAACTGTAGGAATAATAATAGGATCATTTAAACAACATCTTTATTAGGAGTGAGCTCAGATTTAGGCCGTGTTTGGTCTGAACTTGAGCTCCCTAAACCTAGAAGGAAGTCCCTTCTGCTGCCACCCAATCAGCTGCGGCTAGAGAATTATGGTGTCAGGACCGGATGCAGACACTTTAGAGTGCATAATGGAGAGTTGCTTCACCTCTGGCAGCCGCCTTTCCCTTAAGGTCAGTGTGCCTTCCAATACTTGGATGCCCCCAGAATTTCAACTATACACTCTGGCTATAAATGTTGCAGGCGGCCCCGAGGAACAAAGGAGCAGTATTGGCTGGTGACAAGATACAGATAAAAACAGAACGCAAGATACAATACAGAACAGAGTACAAGATACAAGATAATTATGGGGTGAAAGATAGAGACAGAAACAGGTAGTAAGATACAAGACAAGACTATGATACAGGAACAAGATAGGACTATGGTACAAGACAGGAACTGATTCCAGATACAAGATACAAGACATACTATGGCAGGATACAGGCTTGTGAAGACAGAGCTAGACAGAACTAGGCTGAACTATCACGAGCCCAGAGCCCTACTAACCAATCTCCCGGCTGAGGGGTGTGTGGCCAGGCTCATTAGCCCACAGTTGACAAGATTGGGATAGGTGCAATGACAACAGGCAAGCACCAGATGGAGCTGTGAGGTTGCAACAGGCATTGTAGCATTAGACAATCTCCCCCCAAAAAATATGGCCACATGGCTATATTTGGTCAGTGACATTGACCTAATAGGGTCATGTGGCCATATAAGATCAATGATGTCAGCACAAGCATCCCACCCCTTTGCTTATGTGCAGCTGCGGGGCGGTCAATGCCACTGCCCACAGTTGATTGGACAGGTGACCCCATGTTCCCTTCAGGTTTGGTGGAGCTCAGGTTCAGACCAGGTTTGGGTAAGTACAGTGACCGGCAATAAAACTTATTTTCAGACAAGTGAAGAAATATAAATGCAAAATCTGTGATTCTTCATATTTGCCTACATCACACTTTTAATAATGTATCTGCCTACAGTACATCATGTCCTTGTCAGGTACCTGATGGAGTTCTTAGTCAGCATGGTGTAGGAGTAGAAGTACGGATTGTTTGGTATGTCCTGTCCTCGGAGATTGAAAAGCCCTGTGTGGGAAGAAAATACTGTAATGTATACATACAGTATATATATATTTATATTGTATATCCCACACCTTTTTAGACCACACACCTATATATAGATAGATAGATAGATAGATATATATATATATATATATATCTATCTATCTATCTATCTATATATAGGTGTGTGGTCTAAAAATATATAAAATTGTATAAAATGGTCAGGAAAAAAAGCTCAGCGATAAATATCTGACAGAAGTTCTGACCTTTCCCAATGCCAATCAATTAAAAAAACAATTGTAGCTGGATTTTTACATTTATGTAACCAATTATTGTCCCGGATACATTAGATTCTGTTAGTATTTACATACACGCAGTTTCCTCCAGAGCGGAAAGAAAGACGGCGGTTGGCTTCTGGGTGTGTTTATCCATCTGATTCCGAATGTTGTTCACCTTTTCCTGCCAAGTGCTGCCTGTAGAACACGGGGAGATAAGTTGACAAATGACAACACATGGCACCATCATTTTTTGTATTAGAGAGTATCTGCAACACTGGGCGGAATGTAGTACCAAAACCTTACTTCCACTACTGCCGTTTCACACCGCAAAGAGTGCGTTCCAGAGCTTCAGCCTCTGGAACGCAAGCCGTCTGGCTCCCTGAGTTCAGGGACGAAAGGGGTGTGGAAGTGCATTGAAGTCAATGGCACCACAGCCATGCCCCCCGCAGTGCGATCGCCCGCACCAGAATGCAGGGCACGTTAGTGCCGGCATTCCGGTCCAGTGCGATCTGCAAAAATAGTGCTTGCAGCTGAACGCAAGGAGCCGTCGGCTTGGGTTCCAGACGCCGAACGCTCTGGAACACACTCTTTGTGGTGTTAACTGGCTCTTAAAGTAAGACTGAACTGAAGAAACCTAAGATTTGCAATCATATAGGAAATATATAAAAATATGAATTGTGCCCAAAGCAGTACCTTGAAAAATGTGCCTTTTGTCTGAAATTCCTCCTGAAAAATAGCAGTGCTTCTCCCAGTATGTGAGGGTGCATAGGCGCCCCTGTTCTGTAGCCTCCTAGCTATATATATGCAGTGTGATCTCTAAGGCACTGGTGCTTGTGACTGCTGGTCTCAGGAGATTTGGAATGAGATCTGGGGAAGTCACTTTGTGCTGCTCACTGTTCTCTTTGCTGGAAGCTCTGACATGAGGAAGCAAAGCCGTGCTACTAGCAAGATGGCCACCTCCATACAAAGAGACACAGTGCAGAACAAGCATGGTAGGTCAGTAATGTGGAAAGATCATCTGCAGGGAGACCATAGGCAATGCCGGAGACTAGTCTGTTCCCCTCTGCCTGCCTTTTTTGGCTCCGCTTCCAGAGTTTAATTAATCTTTAAAGCAGGAAACCCTTCTGACAGGGTTGCCAGACTAGAATTGACCTGCTTTACATAGGGGTCTATTCACGAAGCTGCCGAAGGATCTGGCCGTAGCTTCGGCCGATCCTTCGGCTAGCTTCGGCTCCAGGACCCCTTCGGTTCATTAGAACCGAAGGGGTGCTGTACGGGCAATTCACTATAGCCCGTACAGCTCCCGATCATGGCCGAGCAGCTCAGCCGAGCCGAAATAGTTACATAGCTAGTCAGGTTGAAAAAAGACACATATCCATCGAGTTCAACCTATAGAGATATAAAATAAGAATTCTGAATACCTGCTGTTTAGAGAGCTCAATAGCTGCAGCTCCAATTTACCAACAACTGAATGAGATAGCAGTGACTCTTTGGCTTCCAAGCCTCAATCACAGAGATAAATCCTAAGGCAAGCAGCTTCTGCTCTGCTCTCTATTGAGAAAACTCCTAAAGCTCTGTGATAGTGTCATGAATGCACTCTTATCAAACATGTATTCATAAAACTAAGGTATTCTATACATAACTAGGTCAAAATAGTTATCAATCGTCTCCTAAAAATTAAGTAAAAATGTAAATTAGAATTGACCCCAAACCATTGTAGTTTCCTTTCCATAAACCTTTGTTTCAGCAGTGTCAGTAACACTTATTTTTGCAAAACGTGCTGGTGTATCTAATAAGAAAGCCCAGCACTGACAATGTTTACTGGAGCCCTCTGTAGACTGACAAACTAGGACATTCCCCTCTCTGTTGGGAGGAAGGAGGGGATTGTCTACTACTCAGGTCTAATTTAGCACAGCAGATGCAGATTGGTGCATCAGGCAATTTTTGTTCTTGTACTGGCTGCAAGATTTAAATATGAAGCATTCACATACAACATAAACCCTGTGATGGAAGATTATATATCCTCGGTTTTGAGAAGGTTCCGCTGTGCTATAACAAACAGGAACTGCATAACAATCTTATACTAGTACATACATTGCAATGTGTGATGCAATGATCCTATAGAGGAGCTATTTGTACCAGGTCTTATATACAGAGAGAGGTATGGACACCGGCACTCCGTTGGATACCCTGTATAGGCCTTACATTCAGGGTTATCTATGTAAATCGTATCCCTGCCTATTTTTTATCAATTTTCTCATTTCGATTAGGATAGATTGAGGCATAAGGACATTCCAAATGTCAGCAAATAGGACAGAATGAATACAGTTAAGTTTCTTACCCACAAAGTCATTAGGTACTGAGTAGATTTCACCTTCAGGCAGAAGGGGTCGCTGGTTCCCCCACACAATGTCCACCAGATTGGTGGTTATTGAGTGCAGAGTCCTGCCAGAACCTTCAAATGCTGTGTTGTAGGACTCCCATTCACCTAAAAAAAAAAGTTTACACTTCTAGAAATAATAAGGCAGATTTCTGAGAAGAAGGGGCAGATCGCAATCATCCAAGACCCGGTGAGGGTATTCCTTTGCACCACATCATGAGGGGGGAAAGATTAAGGACTTGGTCTTGGTCTGACTTTTGTCATCAGTTGAAATAAAGTCTGCTTGTATTCCTATGAAAAATCTGCAAGAAGGAAGGGGGCACTGGTATAATGTATCATGCACCATGTGGATGCTATAGGAAAATATGGCAAACTCAGCGCCTGGAGACAAACATAGACCATTATGAGGGATTCTCAATATCCCCAAACTGAGTTCTTGGGTCTGCACATGCCCATTATGAGGGGTTCCCACCATCACTAAACAGTGTTCTTGAGTCTGTACACCTGCTGTGTATGAGTGAGTGGTTCCCACCATCCCTGAGCTTACTTCTTGGGTCTGCACACCTGATTTGATCATTATGAGTGGTTCCCACCATCCCTGAGCTTACTTCTTGGGTCTGCACACCTGATTTGATCATTATGAGTGGTTCCCACCATCCCTGAGCTAATCTCTTGGGTCTGTACACCTGCTGTACCCATTTTGGAGGGTTCCCACCATCCCTAAACAGTGTTCTTGGGTCTGTACAGGTGATGTAACATTATGAGTGGTTCCCACCATCCCTGAGCTAATCTCTTGGGTCTGTACACCTGCTGTACCCATTTTGGAGGGTTCCCACCATCCCTAAACAGTGTTCTTGGGTCTGTACAGGTGATGTGACATTATGAGTGGTTCCCACCATCCCTGAGCTGACTTATTGGGTCTGTGCACCTGATTTTACCATTATGAGTGGTTCCCACCATCCCTGAGCTGACTTCTTGGGCCTGTACGTCTGCTGTACCAATTATGAATTGTTTCCACCATCCCTGTGTTAAATTCCCGGGTCTGCACACAAGCTGTACCCATTATGAGGGGTTCTCACCATCCCTAAACTGTGTTATTGGGTCTGCACACCTGCTGTGCCCATTATGAGGGGTTCCTTCCATTCTGGGCATTATAGCAGGGAGTTTCCACTGTAGAAATATTCAAGGCAAAAGCATACTGCATTGGAACTCAGGGGTTGACATCATCCTTCCAGAGTCCGCCTATAACTAAAATATAACTTCTTAACAGATGGACAAATTAAAGCTAATTTAGCATGAAGTATTGCAATTAAGAGAAAGTTACAATTTTGATAACCCAAACATTCTAAGTATTAGTGACAGGAAAATGTTCTTAATCCCCAATTACCATTCTACAAGGGAAGACAGTATATGAAAAACTTACTGATAGACAAGCGGAAAGGATCAAAACCAACTACTGCTCCAATGTTGACCTCTTCCAGGATCCAGGACACAACATCCGAAGGTGACACTGTATACAATGATACAATCACACAATTCTGTATTAGTGAAATGACAGCTTCAAAAAGGTGCAATCAAATAATCCAAAATCATTACTCATTCCCTTTAACTGATTATCTCATCTTGTCAATGTTGATGTACAGTTTGCAATTATTGGAGTTGATCTCGTATTTTGGATGACATTAATTTGGGACCGAATTTCACAGGTTTGGGTGGACAAATCCGAATATGAATCTCAGAGTTATTTTTGGCAGTTCACATAACCAAAGGGCTTCTGGGAGAAATGGATCGAAGAATGCTCAAAGGCTGTTTCTGCCCCATATCTGCTTCTGCTGCTCCCTGAGCACCCTTAGCTTGCCTGCCAGTCCCACCAGGTTCCACGCTTCTATCATAGTATCCCTTTAAAGGAAGTAGCACCGTCATCTCATGAGGCCAGGCTGCCAGGAGCTTCCCAAGCCATGGAAAAATAAAAACTTAGAGGAGTGCCAACAGTAAAAGACCATGTGGTCTATTGAGTCTGCACCTTGGGTATAGACGTCTGTTTGTCCCAAGCATGTTTAAATTTATGTTGACTGACTGCCTATCTCTGCTGGAAGACTGATCCATGCATCAACTACTCTTTCAGTAAAATAATACTTTCTAAGGTTCGTTTTGAACTTTCCCCTAGCTTGTTGGAGGTCATGTCCCCGTGTTCTTGATGTCAGCTTCATATTGAATATGTATCTTCTAGTGGTGTATCCAGGGTGTGACACAAAGTATAGGCCCTGAACACCACTTAAAGGGTGGGGGGCACCAGTCTGTGGTTCAGAAAAAGTTTGCCGACCCATGGAAACAGTTCACTTTATCACCGCACACCTCTCCCATACATATCTCCCTGTCCGGCTATTAGCATCCAGGGACGCTCTGGATGGTGTCCCATCCAGCTCCTGTCGACCAGTAAAGTGAAATGAATTGGTTTCCAGGAGCTGGGCGGGATGGTGTTTAAGGGCCCTACACATCTCCCCACCCACTCTGGTTACTAAGAGCCAGGCAAGGAGAGGTGTATGGCCCTTATACATCTCCCCGTCCAGCTCTTAGCAACCCGGGATGCTCTGGCTGGCATCCTGCCCAGCTCATGGCAACCAGTGATGTCACTGGTTGCCAGCAGCTGGGTGGGACACCAGGGGCTAAATTTGTTGTAGATACGCCTCTGTGCCCTCCTGAACCCCTTTCACACCCTTGTATTTAAAGGTTTCAGTCATGTCCCCCATTTTCCTTCTTTGCCCCAGACTGGACATATAAGGTTCCAGCAGTCTCTCTTGATATGTTTTATCCCTCAGACCTTTCACCGTTTTTGTTGCCCTTCTCCGGGCTCGTTCTATCTTTGAAGATGTTTTTGTAAGCGAGGTCTCCAGAGCCGGAAACAATTTTGCATCTTTTGCTGCTCTGTGACACGCACTTTTTGGAACCCATTGATTTCATGGTTTCATATTATCATTGACTTCATATTATTTCAGAGACAGGACCATTGACTAACCAGACTTTTGCAGCTCCCAGTTGCAGTCCATCTGGCGTTCGGCCTGTGTCCAGTACCGGCTGTCAGTGAACATGGCTGCTCTTGTTAAAGTCACTGCAGCTGGGCCTAAAATGACAAGATTCATAATTATTACGATATATTAGATAAGTACAATTTATTGTATATTTCCAACGTTATGCTTACTGTAACATTTTCATTTTGCTCAATGAATCTCTCAATGAAACCAATGAAT